TATAAAACGTTCTCGCTTTGACACACGAGTTTTGGTCGGTACCAGTAGCTCAGTCCATGAGGGCGTCTGTTTTCTAATTCACTCACCGGCAGCGAGGAGAGCTTTGTGTCGCGATAAGCGTCGCTATTTGCCCGTGACTGGGCCGGCCCGTGGGTGGTCGCAGTGGCCGCGCTTAAGTTCAGATGACGTCAGGTGGTGGAACTGACCGTGCCGAGGGACGACCCGCAGGGGGTGGCAGTGGCCGCGCTCAAGTTCAGATGACGTCAGGTGGTGGAACGGACCGTGCCGAGGGACGACCCGTGGGTGGTGGCAGTGGCCGCGCTTAAGCTCAGGTGACGTCAGGTGGTGGAACGGACCGTGCCGAGCGATGCGCCACGTAAATCTTGCACCAAATAGATATTGTTGACATGAAATCTCCCAATTGTATGGCAGTCTCAGGGCTCAGGGAGCAAACCCTGCTTAGCGTGCTCTCTGATCGCGCAAAGGCTTCTAACCGAAGTGTTCTAGCTAAAAACAAGCTCAAATTTAAAAGAGCTTTATATCAGTCTCTTGGCATCCGTATTCAAGGCTTCAGACTCAAAATTCGCACAAAAACTAGTTTGAAAACAAGCTGTACGGTATTCCTCTAATTACACTGATGATTGGGCTCAGCGTTATCCGCGTTACTTCCCACTGTTGAGTTCCACGAATGAGACGGTAAGTCAGGTGCTGACAACTACATATTTATAATGTACACCTTGTGCACACCATTGCTAATACTTTGAAGCATTGCATAACTATAAGCCTCCGCTTGAACAACGGTCTCGCTTGGGTGTGCTTGAGAAAACGAAATTCTGTGTTACTTCACGAATCTACACACAACGCCAAGTAGCACATCAATGCGTGGGCTGGGGGAGATTGCGCTCACGGCCCGATCGTGCTCTTCCAGAAATCCTGTCTGCGTCTGGCACAGAGCGGAACAATCATTAGATACGGCACGTTCACCGTCATAAACTCATTTCCACGGCTGCGCTGCTGGTGCCGCGTTCGCGCTGAGCACGCATTTGTGCGTTGTGTGTACGCACGGCCCTCAGCGGCGAGTGGGCGCCGCGGGCGACGCACAAGGCCTGATTAGTTTTGCTCGTTCCAGGGGTCGGGTGGCGGCGGCACGCTTGTGGAGACCCACGCCCACGGAGCTCGTTCGCGCGACGCGTACGGTGATCTCGCTCAGCGCTGTTGACCATGGCCGAGGCCAACGCGCCAGCGCTCATTCCCTGGACGGACACGATGGCGAACAGCTCGCGCACGCGAGCCGCCATTCGCAGCATCCTGGGTAACCACACAAGTGACGATGACCACGCAGACATGGTGGACCGCATCATCAGAGTCATCAGCGACAAGGTCAACTCGGGCAGCGAGCACTCGCCAGTCACCGCGGCCCTGCTGCAAACGCTGTACGGCATCCTCATCTGCTGTGGCATCGCAACGAACCTCTTCGTCTGGTTCGTGTTTGTGCGCAAGCCGAAGCTTCGCACCACACGCAACATGTTCATCGTCAACCTCTGCACGTCGGATATCCTTCTCTGCACGATCACCATGCCATTCACGCTGATGTTCCTGCTCGAGGCGAAGTGGACGCTGGGGCTGCACCTCTGCAAGCTTGTGCCGACAATCCAGTGCAGCAGCATCCTGGTGTCCACGGGCACGGTCATTATAATCGCGCTCGACCGCTACAACGCGATCGTCAGGACGCCGTGCGCCTGTCCGAAGCGAATCCCGCCGGTGGCGTTTATTTGCAGCCTTTGGGCCGCTGGCGCTGGCCATCTCGTCGCCAATCTGGTTCTTTAACCGCACCGAGCCGCTGCCGTTCCCTAGTTGGCCGGGTCAGAGTCCCGTGTTCTCCCTGTATGAGATCTGCATGGAGGACTGGCCGAACCAGGCGTCGCGGCTGGTTTTCACAGTCGTCATTCTGCTGACCCAGTACCTGGTTCCAATCGTCACTCTCTCGGCCACGCACTCACGCATCACGCGCTTCCTGCACGACCACATGTCCACGGGCAACATCCAGAGCCGCATCCGAGCCGAGCTCCTGCGCAACCGGCGCGTCACGCTGGTGCTCGTGCTCATTGTGGTGGTCTTCGCCGTCAGCTGGCTGCCGTTCCACCTGTTTGTCATGCTGGACGAGCTGCACTACATCGACGTGAAGACGCGCTCCTACAGCTTGGGCTTCGCCGTGTGCCACTTGCTGGCCATGACCACGGCCATCTCCAACCCGATCCTGTATGGCCTGCTCAATACAAACTTCCAGCGCGAGTGGCTGCAGCTGGTGCCAGTCGTGTTCAAGCGGCGTGTCGGCGCGCCGGACAGCTCGCCTCGTTCCGAGGGGCGCCGGCCCACCCGGAGCCAGCCGGTGGCGCTGCCGCTCGTAACCCTGCTGCGCCCCGAGGCCATCTCGTCCACAGCCGTGTCACAACTGGCCAGCGAGCGACCCAGCCACCGGGCGCAGGTCACGCAGTTGTAAGGAGGCCGGGTGAGGCTGGCGGACGGGCGAGCTGGGAGCGACTGACCCAAGCCACCACACCGCCCCGCTGGTTGGCTGTGGGCTTTCCAGACCTTCCACCCACTTTCAGTAGTCGGCATTGGAAAGTGTTTCCAAGGCGGTGCATCTGTTGGTGAACGTAGCTTGCGCGCCTGTCACGATGTTTTTACAATTGTATCATGCAACAACTGATACAATCTAATTGCTTGTGCTCTCTTTTAATATAATGTAATGTTTCTTTCAATGTGTCAGTTCATGCAATCACCTGCCATTTTGAGATGGAAATGCAGTGACATGCTCATATTGGAATAGTAGTGATCGGGTGCTTTGACTAGGTTTGCACACCAGGCTCACATCTAACACGAAAACAACTAGTGTCCGTCTTAAAGAAGGAAGCAACATTTTCCGGGCGCGTGGAATGCCCTTACACATTTTCATATTTTACCAAGTGTACGCTTTTGTCAAAGTTGATATCACCTGATCACACCTTTTCAAACTCAGAATCGTTGGTAAGATGTAAGCGCTCGCGTTTCTCACCGCCCGTGAAGATAGCTTTTTGCTCATGTTATAGACGATGCCGTTTGGTGCTTAAAAGTGTTTTCCAACCCTATCGGTAGGTAAATGTTTGCCAGTCATCAACAACGCACAGAGCACACGTTGACGTGAATTTTAACATACTGATCATGTTTTATTTTCGTTCATGTGTATCTGGCAACTTTCAGATATCATGTGCCGTTAACTCCACCACCAAGGTTAAGTACCACGGCTATTTGTTGGGGATGGCGCTAAGGTGATCGCACCCAATACTCCTGAAACGTCCACCATGATTTAAGAGTTCATATGGGATAAGCCTCAGCACAATGCTGTTATGAGATAGCCAGAGAGCAATCCCATTAAGTGATATGAATGGCAGGCCGTGACTTTACCCAACATCTATGGGCCGACATATATTCATAAGCCAGGCCACTGGTCCTTTCCAAGAGACCATCAGTCTAGGTTAAGTCAGGATTAGGTCAGAAACCCGGGATGCTGTTCACGTGTTCGTTACTTAGCTTTTGCCACCAGGCTGGCAAGAGAATCCTTATCTACGGAAGTGGCAACCTGTGGCTGATTAGTTCGCAAACGATAGGCTTCAATATGCTCGAAGTCGGTCGTGCGGTGAATGCGGCGACAGCGTTTCGTCGTTGAGCTAGCGTTAAATTACTTGCGTTATGTTCCTTCCTGCATTTCATAGAAATTGTTGCGTTCAATGTAGGCATGAAGGCCAGGAGCTCCTGATTGTTTGATATTATGAGATGTTATGCCGAACATAACGACCTTTGTGTTCCTGGAGGGACGGGTTAAACTCATGACTCATGATTACCATGACTCGTAGTTATTAGTGGTACTCGAAGCGTCGATGAGCTCAAAATGGTTAAGTCCTAATGGCTGCTTAGTATCCAGTCTTACCAGGATCGCCAGTCATCTGGCCAGTGAGCCATGGTCTACTGGAGGTTAGCGGTGTTCAGCGTAAGATCTGATACTATGTATGTACATACTTACTTGGGCACGCCAACGCATGCCAACATAAATGTTTGCACTAAACCTGGCGACGACGTTATATACCGTTGTTTGCACTTTTACTTCATTAGGTTTTATCCATAACTTACGTTTACGACCTAGCCCGGCCGGTTCCAGTAATTTTGAACGCTGTGTACATTTGTATACAACTGAGTCAGCATTTCGATTGAACTGCCTTATTGGCCACCATATGAGAATGCCTCCGATGTCTCGAGCATTTTGTCGCGTACTAATGTCAACACTTAATGCTGGCTGTAAGGACCGATAACGTCCAATTACTTGCTTGACGTGATGTGATATAACAATCAAAACTATCATGTGAAGCGTTCCTACTCTACGGGAACTGGACATTGTGCGTGGTGTTGCTGATGTCTGCCGAGTGGGGTCTCGTCGCTCTTCTGTTACCTTACCCTTACGGATACCATTTGAATTGGGAGGCTGTTCATGTCTTGTATTGCGTGTGTCGCATACCTTTAATGTGTTTGTGTTATGACGACTGCACACCATGAATCCAAGACACTGTCCATGCTCTTAGTTGTCTAAGACGGTTCAATACACATAGAAATAAAGCCAAGTTAGTAACATTCCCGGAGGACTGCAATGGCTATGGAACTGGTTAAGTGATGACCGGAGGGGACTGCTGTCCAACAGAAAACGGTCATGAAACGTAAGGCTGGTGGGACCAACAGAACTGACAACATTTTTACTAGCCCCTACAAGTAATCAGCAGATTTTGACGATGAAAATCCTGCGTCTCAAAAGCCAAACCATTCACAAAAAAACATTCACAAACGCCCACGTTGGGTCATGAGACCTTTATCAGAGTACACAGGTGTTCGTCCACAAGCCTAAACCTACTGAAATCCAACTATCAAGAAGGTTTAGGAAATAACGAAACAGCATGGTAACATGTCTGATTGTCGCTTGCCGATAGCAAGGGTGAGCCAGCATATATACGAATATGACGCCGATGCACGCCGGACGCCGGCACTATTCAGGTGAAGAGGTAAAACAAATTCGATATTATACACAGTGTATTTCCTGCAGTTAAACTGAGTTCGTAACAACAAAGAAAGAGACACAAAAAGCATGCGATCTGAAACACCGTTGAATAGGGTGTTTCATCGTTGAACAGGATTTTTTAGCTTGTTAACTGGGTGATGATGCCCAACAGTGACCGCCTTATTCCCTCTCCGGTAAACCCCTCTCCCCCCCCCGCCGCTCGAGTGAAAATTTGGTCTGTCGGCAACTCACGCCCAACCAGGTTTTTGAAACTTTTTAGGCAAGGATCTTCGACGCAATCGATGCATGCATTCTGTGCGGGCCCAGCATTCTAAGGTGAGACACCTGTTGTTAAAAGGAACACTCCAAATTTCATAATCTGGATCCCACAGACTCTTCACAGACTCTTGGCCTGAAACCTTGCACACTGATGCAATTTAGTATTTTTAGCATAATGAGTACAACATATCGGGCTGGTACGCCTTGGTACCAAAAATATATCAAAATTAAAGATCATCCGTGAGGCCAAAATACCACGCCAAAAAATAGCGGTCATAATACAAATAGACTCATTCAATTCTTTTCAAAATTCGTGTTGTGGTGGATACTGACCTGACTGCGATCAACCCAAAGTCTTGGACCGGTCCGATTTATCAGAAACGTCATAACTCTTTGAATGTCAAGGTACCTAAGAGAGGACTTACTACGTTTTAACAACCTTGACTCAGTTCCACATTTGAGGTTCAGCGGGTTCCTCATATTTTTCTGAATTTTTTTTTAGTACAGATGAAGTTTATTCTCCCGAGCTTAATGAACAAAAAATATTAGACCAGAGTCATCTTGTTTGGTAGCCAACTGGCGGGAAGAGTGGTCGCGTTTTGTGACGCTCTCTGGATGCCGCTGATCTGAGTATATCATGTAAATTAGGTCTTCATCTGAAGAGCCAGCTTGATCTGTAAGCAATCAACTTATTTTTAAGTTCTTGTTCAAAGTAGATAATGTGCGCTTCCGACGGTAAACCTTAGCGACGCGTGCGAGTGTTAAGAGAGGCGCGCCCGACGCTGTCACGACCGCCGGGGTTCGCCCAAAGACAATAAGAGGACGCAAAACCCGAACAAGCCTGGGGCATCCCAAATGCGGCGGATCGTTGGCCGCGGGCATGATGCGTCTGTCTCTGCGTGCCTTGCTCCGACAGTGCGTCTGCCCATACGCGCCCTGCGCGCCCTGGTCTTGTGTTACTGGGCTATCGCGGACTCAAGTCCCACCGTGCGATTGGCCTTGAGCCCTGCTGTTTGTTCTCGTATTTCTGACATCTGAAGGACTCTGCGATGACAGGGGACAATAATTAGAAGCTGCCGGCACCGCCGTCTCTGCACCAGAGTTCGGACCTAGTGGTCTGTTCCCGTCTGTTATGCAGCATCGACGCAAGCCCATCAAACCTATCTGTTGCTGCTAGCTTCTGGCCAGTTTCCTTCTCTCCGAAAATGTAGAAGTGAGCCTGGGGCCGGACACGAGCTAAGAGCGCTGCAAGTATTTTGCAAGAACGTCTGCTGTTTGAAGAACAAGTTGTGCACTCTGCACTCTCATTGTGAGGGCCTAGCTGGTTTCAAGGTTGTTGGTGAAGCCGAGACATGGCTACAGCTGGGCCTCTTGCACCATATCTGGTTCTGCAAGAGGAGGTGTTGCTTGCGCAGTGAAGACAAGCCTGCTACCTGCTCACCGACCGGACCTGGAGCCCGACCGAGATCGGCCGTGGTGCTGCCGATTAAGTTGGGGACCATCTGCTCCGTCATGGTGGTCTGCTAACGTCCGCCAGATGTTGACCGCGATGTGGATTGGATGGCTGCCTTTTCGAGAACATCCTCTCCGCCAGATACTGTTCCTCATCGTGGGTGACTTAAGCTTGCCTGAGGTCCGGTGGCCGGGTAAAGGACGAAGCTGCTGTACTGAGGCGCACCGTCAGAGCCGTAAATTCCTAGTCTGTAGCCGAGCGCGAAGCGGTGCAATCTGTTACGTCACCGACGCGGGGCGAGAATATTCTGGACCTCGCCATCTCCTCAGGCGGAGCTATAGCTGTATCTGAGGATACGGACAGCATATTCAGCTCAGGTCGCCGTATGGTGGCGACACGGGCTCCTTAAAATGTGGGCCGGCACCCCGCGCTACCAGATCTCAGGCGTACAACTGCAAACAGGCGGACTTCAACGGTCTGCGCACTGCTCTCGGGTCTATCCCTAGGCTTACACTACCTATTTCACTGTTGATGGTGCTGTCCACCTGTTCTATGATCTAGTGTTCATCGCCAGTGCAGACTTTGTACCCGTTGTTAAGCTCCGAGAGAAATTTCTTCCGCGGTTTGACTGGTCCATTCGAGACATGCTGCGTGACAAGGAAATGGGTCACAGACATAAGAAAGCTTG